CGTAGGAATTTTTTTGAAATTACTGTGTTCCCCAACACTAGCAGCCCTGGGCAGCAATAGGAAACATGGGAAAGATGAAGGCAGATGGGAAACAACCACTTTTTGCAAAAATGATCCAAATCTATTATCAAAGTTCAGTAGAAATACAAAGCATCTCGAACATAAAAAATATTACATTGAGGTTCCAAGACCCCCAAACAACCATTACTGCCGCTAGAACAAGCCGACGACGCGCCGTTTTTGCGACTCCCTACCGGAGTTGGCTTGACCTTGTCGATGACAGCCGGGAAGTCTTCGTGCCACATTAGATGATGTAGCCCCCTTGCCTCCTTAGGGTTTGGTGCGGTTAACCTACTTTTGCACTAATGGCCCTTAGGCCCATGCGGCAGGGAGGTGGGTGGTTGGCTCCAAAACTCGTTTTGGTCCTTTCCCCCATCTATCTTTTCCGTATTTAATTCTCCCTCCGTCAAGTGTGCACTTTTACATGTTCATATATGTGTGGCCATGCATGAGAATTCCTTCTCTGTCAATAGTCGACAGTGGAGTCTAGTTACTCATATCAAACCCCCGCACAGTAGCGGCCGCAGGATCATGCCATGACCCATGCAGCCTTCCCGCACTGTAGCACAGTAGCTATGGCGTATGCTACAGTCAATGAAGCACAAGAGGCTCACACCCCAAGTCAGCACCCGGGTTGCCTGGGGCGTGGCGTCCGCACATATACGAAGACCATTCAAATGAACCTTGTACATGTCGTATATAATCCCTTTATCTCAAGATATATGTCGCGCTCAAGGCAATACTGTCATCCTTGTTTCCAGCTCTACCACATTCTCTTGACATTGTACTAGAATCCCTCAAAATATCATTAACGTCTTAATCATAGGCATTCCAATGTGTTTTCAAAATCCAAATACTAGAGATGGTCGAGAAAAAATATCCCCATCTTCAGAGGGAGAAATCACATCTTGATCAATCTACGACCACGACTTGCTTTCTGGTAATCCAAAAGGCACCTTTATAAGTACGTTACAGATTTTGGCGACCCCAAGTATACCATCTGATTCCTTTTGCATTTATTTTGGACCCTAATATCTAAGCGTCGCGAGGGAGCTGGCCTCATCGAGCAAATCGTTCGCCAGGGAGCAGCTCGTCGGCCAGAAGGCAAGCCCAGCGTGACACCCCAGACCCAAAAGGCCCAACTAAAGTGTATTTTGTTTAATATTACCACGTTATAACTTTAAAACCAAAAAAAGTTGAGTGATCTAGATTTTTTTTGCCATGCTAAACTTAAAAGTGCCATCCTCTAGTCTATATAAAAAACTGCCATCCCCAGGATAAAAATGCCATAAACAAAAAATACACAAAATTATATATTAAAAATTTGTCATTCTAAGACTTTAAAACTAATATCCTTGGGATAAAAATGCCATGAGCAAACAAAAAACACAAAATTATAAAATTGAGAAAATGCCATGCTTCGAAAAAAATTGTCGTGCTACTTTATAAAACTACAATCCTCTAGATATTTTTTTATCTGGATACATCTAAAAAATAAAGCTGTCCTGTCATTAAAAATAAAAAATTCCATCCTCTCAAACATTAAAAAATGCCATCATATTTATAATAAAAAATTCCACCCTCTCAAAAATTAAAATGCCATCCTATTATTGATAAAGAAAGTGCCATCTTATTGTTAATAAAATGCCATGCACTTAATAATAAAATTGTCATGCCATAAAAATAAAATTCCATCTCTCAATAATGAAAATAGCATTATAGTGTTGGCAAAAATTCCATCATATTTTTGATAAAATTCCATGCATTTAGTAATAAAATTGCCATGTCATTAAAATTAAAAAGTCCATCTCTCAATAATAAAAATACCATGCTATACAAAAATAAAACTTTCATGTGAGAAAATGAAAAAAATCAGGATTTTCGGGATTGAAAAATATATAAGGCATCTTAAACACAACAAATTCACAAAAGGCCCTCTCAGCCAGTGGTGCTCGGTTTGATCCCCTTGCCTCACGAATCTATACTATTTATAAAAGAGCAAATATTATTTTTTTAAGTGCACCCCACAAAATATACACGAATACATTACTACCGTATGATTAGTCCCATAAACTCAATTTAACGGCTAGCCTTGACCTAATTTGTTATCTGTGTGCACTTTGCAATTTACATTGACTGGCCATACTCCACCGCGGAGGAAAATATAAAAGTTCACGTCCGGTCAATTAGGAAACTATAATCATGGACACTCCTATTAAGAAACTAATCACGGGCACATCTAATTATTAGGAAACTAATCACAAACACATATTAGAAAACTAATCACAAACGCATCCTATTATTAGGGAAATAATCACGCGTATCCTATTAGGAAATTAATGATGAACGCATCTAATTATTAGGAAACTAATCACGGACGCATCCTATTAGATAACTAATTATGAACGTATCTAATTATTAGGAAACTAATCGCGAGCGCATCCTATCGTCTCGGGAATCGCGATCGTGAGTCGCCTGCCGTCACCAGCCCACCACCCACGCGAGCCACAGTGGGAGACACGCGAGGAGGAGTTGCGGCTTCCTCCGAACACACACACGTGTCGTCACCGCTTTCGTCTTCTGCCTGGAGGCCAGGTCATTTTTCTACTGTCTGCAACGACTTCGTCCACGTCCTGGCATGTTCTCCGGGAACCACCGGCATCCGCGTCGACTTCAGATCTATCCACAACACCCACGCTGACAACCACCCACCGCCGACGCCCTTCAAGTGCGGGCAACGCTGAGTATCCTGAACCAGTATAAGCGGGCCAAAAAATCGAGTGGGGGGCGCCCCGGTGCATGGACGACGCCGCCTCAAAGCTGGACGATTGATTCACCTGCGTTGACAACGCCGCGCCAGCTGGTGAGAGGACACGGTCGCCTCACCGCTCGCAAGCCTGAACGATGGAGACGCTCGCCTTCACGCGAACGCGCCGCACGCACGCACTAATCAGGTAAGCACCGAGTGTTTTTTACTGTCATCGCTACCTCGTCGGTGGTGACACATCTAGAAGTACAGGAACTAGAGATGAGGCAATGAGAAACAGATGCGCGCTGGAGCACACACAGTTGGGTTTCAGGCAACCAATGCCTTCTTATTTTTATTTTCACTAATTTTCGCGTACCTGTAACAGACATCCTTGTTTTTTTAAGTACTGACTACCGGTTATTACATGGCCAACCCACGACTACGCAGTGAACTCACAGAAGAATTCGCTGAACCAAGACCTTACTTGTAGTCATGAAATTACGTGAAAAAACCCAGAAGTTTGCATAAGTTTTAGTGAAAAAAATAAAGTTCGCATAAGTTTTACTAAAAAACCCTGAAGTTTGCATAAGTGTATTTGTTTGTCCAACAGATACATGGCAATTGTAATTTTACATGAGCATTTTCATACCGTCCTTATCTACAGTTGAGTTAACATGTTTTCCTAATAGAAAACTTGGACCACATACAAGAGAAGCAAAAAATGCATGTTGATTATGATGATGATGAATGTACGATATTTTGTGGTCATGGTAAATTCTCATATTATTTATTTTATTTCATTATTGCACTCTACATTATATACTATGCACGACAACTTTGGTAGAGATGACGAGTTCGCATCATACAGAAAGACCAACCATGTTTCTCCGAATATCTTGAATCATGATACTTATGACTTCATCTCTATTACTTATAAGAAGTACATTTTTTCGTTTGACTATTTCCTGACTTGAGAGGTAAGGTATGTTTTACCCACTAGAGTTGCTAAAATTGGAAGCATGTCTGCAGTTTTTTTCTTTCTAAACCGGCATTTGTTGGCCTTTTCTTGCCACTGTTATTCTTACAAGTGATAGCATATGCATGTTGAAAACCATTTCCAAATTATCTATCTTCATATCATTATTACTCCAAACTGAGAGAATATTTGTTATATTGTCAAAATTTTAGAATGTCGAGCCCTTAAAGAAATGTGTAGTACTCAAGTAACTGTTCCAAGTTGTCGTATTAATACTTTTGTCCAGTGAATAACAAGTATAATTATGCAATTTATCACTGTAATTTCTATTTGGTTTACATGTTCTATTTTCATAATAAAGTAAGTCATTTTTCTTGCTTCTAGACATTACGATACTTGTGTGCAATAGTAGAATCGGATGGTCCAACTATCATTTTTTTGTCTTATTTCACAGCTGATTCTATGCAGTCAAGACATCTCTACACTTCTTTATCTGACAATGGCTTCCTCTTTTCAACAAACCATAGAGGTCTCTTTCCACTATTGAGGTTGACACTCAATTGTAATAATAATTTTTGACTGGAGTTTGTTGGCAGTGAAACGGTTCCTTAGCTTGTCCTAAGTGACATTTTCATGTGTGATTATACTTGCATAAATGTGTGCATATGAAGAATCATGATAAATCTTTTAAATAATTTTGAGTTTTATACATTGGGAACACTGGGTGGTCTTTTAATACAGGAGACATGTTGATTAAGGAGAAATGATATTTCAAATTGTTTGTACGTGTAGGGAATAAGAGATTGTGTATTTTATAGGGAAAATTTAAATTTATGAATAAGTTGTCTTGTACTAAGTTTAGTATAGTGTGTTAATTCAAATAAACGCGTGTTGCACATGCACACTTATTAGTTCAAATAGACGTGAGTTGCACGTGCACACTTATAATTTTTGAAGATGAAAAACCACGCGTCCGCCAGAAGCATCGGAACAGCGAACCACTCCAGCGATCCTGATCCTACATGGTGTTGGCTCTCCGCCGAGGTTCGTGCGACGGAAGGGAGAACGTTCGCTGGGGTTAGCCCGGTGGCGAACGGTCGCCAGATAACATTTTCCTTTATTTTTTGATCAAAATTCCTCTTGCTATTGCAGATGCAACCCTTCTCGAACTCGAAAGAGAACCATCTCTGAAATCCGAACACATACTCCTCCAGAATGTTCCCTTCTACCTCTGCCACGGCCTCCCGTCTCCTCGTCCCCGCCGCCTCTCGCCGCGCCATGGCCGCTGCCGCCTCCGCCAACCCGCCGCCCCCGCAGCAATCGCCCCCCAAGGCGGTGCGGGTCGTGGTGAAGGGCCGCGTGCAGGGCGTCTTCTTCCGCGACTGGACGGTGGAGACGGCCCGCGCGCTCGGGCTCGCCGGCTGGGTCCGCAACCGCCACGACGGCACCGTGGAGGCCCTCCTGTCCGGCGAACCCGCCAGGGTCGACGAGATGGTCTCCCGGTGCCTTCCCGTAGGGCCTCCCGCCGCCGCCGTCACCGCGGTGCTGCCTTCCCCAGCCGATCCGCTCGACCCTTCCGAGGGCTTCCACCGCAAGCCGACCGCCTGACGACGGCTGGTTCTTGTCATTGACATGGTAATACTACCTCTGAATATTTCGCTTTCAATGATTTTTAGCATGCTATTGAGCGAGATGTCAGCTTATTGAATCGAACGGTAGGACTGTGAGTTGTCCAGTTTGTTTCCATTCAGTTAGATTCAATACACGGTTTGTTTGTGTGTAAGCCCATATCAAAGAGGGGGGTAGAAATTTTATTTTAAGGGATTAGTAGAAATAACCAAACAAAATAGTAAAATTGTATACCGAATGTGTTCTTCCATTCTCTGCCATTCATATGCCTGATGATCTACCAAAATAACTTCTCCCCTGATATAGATTATCAAGCGAATCTCTTATCACCCAGTCTGTCGAATAGTTCATATAATTCAGGGCAAGGAAAATAAATGTGTACTCCCTCCGTCCACGAATAAGTGTACATATAGAAATTTTAGAACATATTATGGAGTGGAGTAAAAATTGCATTGGGAAGGTGCAAACCATCATCTCTCTATTCTTTAATTACCCCACCTCCAATGAGCTAAGTCCATGTAGAAAGTGAGGAGACCACATGTTGGATATTATTGGTCTTGATTATCGTATGATGAGAGAGAATCATTTTTTTTCTACTTTAAAATGCATTAGAAAGTCTTGGTACACTCTTTTTTGGATAAATTTTGAATGCCAAACGTACACTTATTCGTGAACGGAGGGAGTACATGGCTTCTCTTGGTAAGAAACAAATGGCCAGATTTCATCAACGTTACCACTCATTGCCCGTCTATCCTGCAGATGTGCCAGTCGACTAGTACTACTCAATAGCCTCTCCTCTGCCCGGTCAGCCCAGCGCCCCAGCCTCCATTCAACGACCTCCAAGTGTCACCAACAAGGGAGCAAGGTCTCTATGACCTCCATTCCTGACGTATCTCCTCCCTCAATGGTTGATGATCATTGATGTCTACTGCTCCAACATCGCCTCGTTCTCTCCAAGCATCCGTGGCGTGGAGGATCCTTCCCCAAATCCCAATGGTTTAATCACTGGTGTTCATTACAGCGTTTAACTGTGGTTTGTTCATTATCTGGGTGTACTATGTCTTGGTACCTTATTCTGAAGAGCCGAAAGTCTAAAACCAAATATTCTTTAGAGCCTACTATGACCATGAGCAGCTTCGTGCTTGCTCAAAACCCTACCAAAGTTTTTGGATGACTGCTGCTGAACCGCCCAAGACTTTGTGTGTACTTGTCAGCTTCTTTTTTTAGTAGAGAAAAGGCATACACCCAACTTTATAAATAAAGTCACCAGGCAGAGTTTCACAAGCACGACAGCAATACCGCCCGCCTGGGCCAACAAGCACAAAAGAAAACAAGAAGGCACTCCGGCCCGGGAAGTGCACACAGGCCAGCAACTAACAACAGGATAACAAGGCGCGCAGGCCAACAACCTACAGCAACCGCGGCAGACACACAACGATGATTAAGCACGGGCAGCAGGGACTTGCTGCATCAATGAGAAAGCAGAAGCCCGGACCTTGGAAATAAGCACCTCCGTTGCGTCCCGGTCAACCTCCTTAGTCACCGCGGCAGACACGCAACGAGTCAGCTTCTCTTGCCATGCATGCAGTTGTTGTGTAGTACTCCCTCCGTTCCAAAATAGATGACTCAACTTTGTACTAACTTTAGTACAAAGTTGGGTCATCTATTTTGGAACGGAGGGAGTAGTGTATAGCGCTTGCATAATAATACAGCTTATGTTGTGCTGGATGAAAACGTTTTTGGGATTTGCAGTTGTATCGCTCAATTTGCCATGGAACACTTTCTGCCTGTGACTGATCTTCATACATATCACTTCAGTCTCCAAACATCTATTTACCCGCTTCTAGCTTGCTGAACCTGTACCTGCATATAGGTACATTCTTCTCTTTACTCAGTCATTCTCTTGCAGCTCCACCATGGACCTGTCGTTCCCCTCCCCTGTCTCGTGGAGCTTCAAGGAGTCGAACGTGGAGCGCGCGGCACACGTGACATAGTACACCAGGTTGATGACCTGCAGCAGAGTCGCGACCCAGTAGAGGTAGTTCAGCTTGCCCTGGTGGATGTTGTCCGGTTTACAAACCAGTCGTCATTTCTTGATAGGCTACGGGGCGTAGAGAGAAAAGAAAACGGTGATCTATGGTGGGAATTGCATCAAAAGAGTTTTGCTCGCCTCCATTCTTCTCTGTTCTTCGTCTCACCTCTTAAGTTAGACTTTGTAAATGTGCTGGCATTGGCCACATCCTTTCTTGACACCCCATTCCTCTTCCAGAGCAATCTGGAATTTGTGAGATTTTCCCCCTTTTCTCGGGTTGTTTCATCTGTATACACAAAATAAATAACAGAAAGGATATGTTTGCAAAAATAATTAGAATCATGAAAAGACACCAGTAAATTCAAGGAGTATGATATGTATTGGATATATCACCGTCCTGGTCTCGGTGTGCCTACTAGGGAGGCCATGGTGTTTGCTCATGGGCCGAGGGCTCTCAATCTAGTGGATTGTCATGTAGCATCAGGTCTTGTCTTGGCAGTTGGTGCTATCTAGCTTTTGTTATGGAGTGTGGTTTCAGTCTTCTGTATTTTCCTGATCTTTGCCTTCTTTCCCGGTTATCTGTCAATGAAGCAGCGGTTCACAACCTATTTTGAAATGTGAGTGCCCCTGATTTAGTGAATTCATGTTCTTGCCTCTTGGGATCGGCTGTTGTGGCTCTTTAAAACCTTCAAAGTTAGTCCAACTTGTGTAGGTTTTTCTCGTCCTATTTTTTAATCTAGAGGCATGGAAAAAAGTGAGGATGCAAAGGCGACTGGAGACCAAGACTTCATATATACGTTATTGATAATAAGGTGGAGGTGGATCTGCTAAATCATCGGGTAATATATCGATATTATATTTTATTTTGCAATTTCCCTTCTATTCCTAGTATCAGTTTACTTATTTTGTTCGAGTACATATAGCTCCAGTAGATCCTCTCTAGCAATAACAATTGAAGCAATATATGTTAATTTATTGCGCCATCATTGCTTTATCAATACAAACCGACCGCTGCTCTCAAAATGATGCCCGTGGCACAATCCCCAGGCGGAAAATTACCGTTCTGAAGGACAATCCCAAAAAACAAAACTATGGACTAAAATTTCTGGGATTATTTGGAGGTACCCTGAAAAGATGGACCAAATTAGTTGGTTGGTAGCTTCACAATGTCGGCATCTTAATAATCTGAATAAGAGTGCTCCTACTGTGCCATGTGAAAAACATGGCTTCTAGGCTACTATTAATGCACAACATGAATGATATGATACGTACAGTATAGATGGTTGAGAAATTGACTGGTCTCATGACCCCCACCACTCTTTTGCTATTTGGAGAATGTTTTTGTTTCGATATGCTACGATGTAGTGCAATAAACGTTGAAAGTTAGGGTCCCAAGAGGGCAAGAGGCCATGACAGTTACACAGTTGTCCTATGGTTTATTTTATAGCTCTTTGCAAATCTTTTTAAGCAACAATATAATGTTAACCCATTATAGCATCAACCCTGATCCCCATATGACGATCTCCCACAAGTTTCCTCCTCTAATAATCCTATATACACTACACCATCAGACAACCTGCTTCGTCATCTCTCATCACACTCTTCTCAAATTGCTATAAAATCTAGCTGCCAGCATCCTCCTCCATATTGTCAACGCCATGACACTAGCAGCGGCCTGCCTCCTAAAAGTTGCACAATGGCTTGCCGTTGCAGGCGAGCCACTTCGTGCCCTCTGGCCAATCCACCTACTCATGCCCATTGTTCTTCCAACTGTTGCAGCTACTGTCTACCTGGCATATCGCCCTAGAGCCACATACCTTGTTGACTATGCTTGCTTCCGGCCTAGCCCCAACTATCGATTCCCAAGGGCGGCCTTACTCGAGCATGCACATATGTCGACCTTCCTTGCCGATTCTACCATTAACTTCATAGCACGAGTTCTTGAGCACTCCGGTCTTAGTGATGAGACTTGTGTTCCACCGGCACTTTCTTACATTGAGCCATATTGTAGTCTGGATGAAGCCCGCGCCGAGGTAGAACTGGTCGTCTTCTCAGTGGTTGATGATCTACTGGCTAAGACGAGGATTGACCTTGATACGATTGACATTCTGGTCACTAACTGCAGTGTCTTTTCACCGGTTCCATCGATCGCCGACATGATTGTCAGCAGGTATAAGCTGCGAGGTGACCTTCGCGTATCAACCTCTCTGGGGATGGGTTGCAGTGCAACAGTAACTGCAGTTGGGCTTGCAAGGAACATCTTGGAGGTCATGCCTTTTGGATCGCAAGCGCTAGTGGTGTCAACGGAGACCATCGGACCCAACCACTATGCGGGTAACAACCGCTCCATGCAGTTGGTTAATATCTTGTTCCGCATGGGCGGTGCAGCCGTCCTGTTATCGAGTTCTAGGTCCAAGGCTAGGTTCCGCCTCACACATGTTGTGCGGACGATCACTGCTAGCGATGACAATGCCTACCGGTGCGTCTACCAAGAGGAAGATGACGAGGGAATCAAGGGCGCCAATCTGTCAAAGAACCTCATGGCTATTGCTGGAGACGCTCTCAAGGCCAACATCACGGCCATGGGGCCACTTGTCTTGCCTACATCAGAGCTGATCAAGTTTCTTCTTGTCTCCTTGGCGAGGAAGGTGTTCCTTGGGAGGAGGATAAGGCCTTACATTCCCAATTTCCGTACAGCGTTCAAACACTTCTGCATCCACGTTGGTGGACCAGCGGTGATCAGCTCGGTACAACGTGGCCTTAATCTATCCGATGAGCATGTCGAGCCTTCACGAATGACACTGCATCAATTCGGAAATCAGTCAAGTGCATCTGTGTGGTACGAGTTGGGATACATAGAAGCCAAGGGTCGAATGCTAAAAGGTAATAGGGTCTGGATGATTGGTTTCGGAGCTGGATATGAATGCAACTCCGCAGTGTGGGTGTGCATCCGTACATGTACATCTCACGGTGACCATGGGCCATGGGCTAGTTGCATCCATCGATACCCACTAGATGTGCAGAAATAAAGTTAACTTGACTATACTCTCACCAAGAAGATCACAGGCAACGCAAAGGTACAAAATTGAAACCATCCATTGCTATCGACCATCGCCAGTTTTCTGGATTGTTTCATTCTATTCTTTTTGTTATCATTAAGCAAGATGTGTAAGATAGATCTTTGTGTGGTATTTTGTTGAAATATTCTTATGTACACTAAATATGTATTCTCCAAATATTTTTCTTCAACTGCCAACTGTTTAACCAATAGTTGTTCAGATTATTTTGTTCATACACAAAAATTTAGTAGAATCCAGTTTCATATCATGAGCTTTAACATCTCTCAAACAAACCAGCGTAATAAGATAAACAAATATCAAGAATTGATTGTGCTCTTACATTATACGATGCAAGATGAGGTTATTTACTTTTGTCTCTAGTGCAGATCATCCTCTTCACTGATGCTTGAGGACTGCCACAAAGGATATGCCACTACTTAAGAATGTGCCATCACAGACGATTTAGAAAATCCATCATATACATCTTCCCGGTGACATGGTTTATGTCATCACAACCTGGACATTTTGTAATAAGATAAGAGATGACTGAAAGGTTCATAATGTGAAATGGTTTGTGATTTGGTCTTTTTATAGACGGTTCGTGCTTGAGGAATGCCTATGATACTCTTTTTCATACTGTAATTTCTTTGTAACTTGGCTACGTTCAAGAAATGCTAGTCATACTCTCTTAAACAAATGGGATAACAAAAAAGTTGTATCATGTTTCTATAAATCGCAGAAATACTCATGTCTAATCTAATTCATTTATCACACTACCATATTCTTCACAAGCATCCATGTGAACAAAATAACTTGTTCGAGATTTATGAAACATTTACATCCATAACTGTAAGGAGCCAACTTCCATCATTTAGATTGAACTCACTATCTTGTACTAACTTGCTAAGCTCGATAACTCTAGCGAGCAAAAAACTCAGTTTGATTCGATTCGTTATAAGCTCAGCTGGGTCGGTTAACTCGACAAAAACATTAACACACTCTGGGGCAACTATATTGTGTACACAATATAGCCAGCGAGCGAACTAAGCATAACTCAGATGGATGGAATACTTTTTGTGGTGGAACCATCCCAACCAGGTTTCAGTCGTAGATTTGGCACGAGTTGTCACATTTTTCAGGTTTTATTCCAAGCCTTCTGACATTACTTTCTTAGTGGTATGGCGTGCCCCTCGACTACATGGCGTTTCTGATGACTTCATCAATCTTAGATGCGTCAACTCCGTCTCCTGAAAGTGCTTTACATGGCTGAATGTTCGTGCGTGTATACAAACGTCTGCGTCTACATATACTATGTTTCTAGGAAACTAGCCCGATGATTTCTCTGATCCCCTCCCTTCCTTGTAAGGCCCACAGTAAAAGCAATGCTCTTGATTGCGTGATGTCATTGGAAACAAATTAGATGATACTCCACACGTTGCAGGAATAATTCGCAATATATTTTAATAAGTTTTCGTCATATGGAGCATGAATATTTGAAGCAATTATATAAGAACAAAAACTGAAAATACATATGCTTTATTGTATTCGATAATTGTATAGTTAAAAATATTTATTAATGGCAATAATTTCGTGAATCCACTACCTATCGTGTGTCCGTGTGTCCGGTCCGTTTCAACCCCACGATTTTAATCCTGAGCCTCACGTGCAGCCAAGAGACTAATTGCATTTACCTGCCTGCTTTGTAACTTACAACCAATTTTATTCACAAAAAACCCCTGAAGCCTCTGACGCAAGACTCCCCAGATTGCTTCTCTGCGTCGTGCGCCGCCGCCGCCGCCGCTGTCGTGTGCCTCCGATATCTGTCGACTTGATCCTGACGTCTGCCGGCACCCACCAGATGCAGATGCAGGTACTGCCCCACACCAGTCTTGTACGTGCTCCTCTGCTCCCATGTCAACACGAACCTGGCAACCATCGCCCCATGCATGTTCCCCGACCAACCATCGCCCCATGCATGTTATTCCCCGATCTAGACCTATCTCTATAACTGGCAATACTTTTCTGCAGTGATAACAACGGATGAGCGACTAGCAAGTAGTACAACATCTCTTTCAACCAGCAACACGAGGGCATCAAAAGTTTGAGGTAAAACAGCACACAATTTCAGTCCTTGTGTATACACGTGTGTATGTAGGTTGAAAGGCTAATCATGTGGCCATGTGTGTGCAGCAATATGGATCCAATCAACAACGTTCAAATGCATATGAGCCATGGGGGATTTAATACACCCAAAAAGAATACAGACATGGCAGACATACCTCTCTTTGTAAGTTCAGTTTGCACTAACAACTGAAACTATGGATGAAGTGCTTATTATAGTTTATTCTTGACATTGCAGTCTTCGTCTTTTATACCTGAATGTGATGAGCAGTTGAAGCCTAAAGTGGGTATGACATTTAAAAGACTAGAGGCAATGGAGAAGTTCTACAAGGCATATGCACATGAATCAGGTTTTGGTGTTCGTATCGGACAGCAGAAAAAGATTGAGAATAAGGTGGTCCGGACTAAGCGTTTCATGTGTAATAGGGAAGGATTCAAGTCAAAAGATTGTAAGGAGATAGATGACCCCTTGAAAAAAATGCGTAAGCAGACAAATACGCGATGCGGTTGTGATGCCCATATCTTTGTTAGACTTTGTGGAGACAACACCTACAAGATAGACTCATGGGTTGAGCACCACATTCATGGTCTTGTATCGCCTAATAAGCGTCATTTGATTAGATCGAATCGCAGAGTTAGTGAGAGAGCAAAGAATACTTTATACACATGTCATAAGGCAAGCATTGGAACCTCCCAGGCATACAGGCTGCTGCAAGTCAGTGAGGGTGGAATTCCTTATGTTGGGTGCACAAAGAGGGACTTGCAGAATTACTACCAGGCTCTCAGGTATAAAATCAGAGACGCGGATGCTCAAATGTTTGTTGCCCAATTAGCTAGAAAGCAGGAAGTGAATTCAGCATTTTTCTATGATTTTGAAGTGAATGATGAAGGAAAGCTAGTGCGTGTGTTCTGGGCGGATGCCACAAGCAGGAAGAACTATAGTCACTATAGGCATGGACTTCTTAACATTAAGTGTGATGAACATTGAGGCGCCTTTGGAGCAGATGATCCCTGCAGCCGCCCAAAGCACTAGGCAAGAGGAGTATGAGGCTTTTATTGGTTGCAACATTCCCGCCGAAGTTCATATACATCCGCCGACTGATGTTCGTACCGTGGGGAGATGCAAAAGAATAAAGCGAGGAAAGGAGATCAAGGAGGGGGTCGAAAAAGTAAGGACAAACAAGGGAAGCTAAAGGTTGCACGCTTGTGCAAGACGTTCAAGCAACACGTGTTTCATGATAGTCGTAATTGTCCAAGCAAAAAAGGAAATGGGAGTGTGATTCTGCAAGATATGCAGCTAAATGGTGATTGCTGATACAGTCCAAGCAGAGAATGATTTTATCTATGTTATATTCATGTAATGAACGAGAATTTGCATTGTGTCGAATTAAACTTGACTTGATTTCTGACAAGTTTGATGCTTGTCAAATTCCTAAAGAATAAAGAACATATTCAGACTTTTTACCAGGTATTCAAGCATGAGTAATTTCTGGTTTTTATGAAAACTTGTAATGTTGTGTAGTGGCAATACATGCATGTCTGTTTCCTCTTCATTTTTGGTCAGACTTGCATCGTCCAGGAGCACACAGTGAAGTTTATAGATATTCAGAAAACTTATGACGGTGACTTTTGCTTACAGCTTTGATCACAAAATTGGACAAAGCCATCCCAGGCCACTTCTGTAGTTCAAAAGCTTTACTGAAAAATACATTCTTTCACAAGATGACTGAAAAAGTCACCTATTTTTCCAACCGCATAACTGAATTACTCACTGGACTTTTTGGCAACGGCAAATAGGATATTTTTACCAAACGACAAGCAAATTAACAAGGAAAAGTTCAACCAAAGCCTCTAATCTGAACCTGCCATTGCCATTCATTATCCTGCAAATATACAGTATACTGATATGAGCATTGCACTAGTAATGTGCATGTCACTCGGCCAAATACAACAGGCCAGTATTTGCACTAGCGGGCGCCTAAATGTAAATCTTCAGGAAACACTTTCACAGTGAGTTGTTGCTTATACTAGTATGTATCTCAAAACTGGACAATGCTGTCACAGGGCATTTCCTGTAAGTAAAAAGGTTTACTGAACAAAACATGTTTTGACCACATGAAGTCACTTATTTTTTCATGATTTAACTGAACTAGTCAGTGATTTTTTTGGCAATAACAAAGAAGGTATAAGCATTGCACTAATACATCTGGTACAGGCAACAAGATACAGCTTCCTCGAAGGAATTACACTAATATGAGCACCACACTAACACTGTAATACATGTGCTACAGACATACAGTCTACAGCTTCCTACGGACGACAGGCTACAGCTTTCTATGAAGTAATTGTCGTAGTTGCAGGAGGCCACGCAGGGGCTGTTGACGCCTCAGCATAGACGAGTCGTCACTCGTCACAGTCGCAGACCGTCGTCAATTAGACATGGCTTCACCGTTGAGACGGCCGTCCGGACCTTTGTTGCCGTCGCCAGTGGCCGCCGGGTACCCGTCGTCGCCGCTGCTTGGTTGCCGTCTCCGGAAGACTTTCGTACAGGCCAAGGTTCCCGTCATACGAGGCCTTCGGATTC